GAGTACGGTGCGGACCGCCCCAGCCGTAAGCAGGCACTGGGCGCATGCACAGAGCAGCCCGACCATAAGCACGCACTAGGGCACCTTGCGCAGTGTGGACGACCTGAGTGGTACCAGCAGGAGCCACTTTTTTTTTTTTAAATCAGAGCGCCACATGCAGCTCATGAGTTGCAGGTTGGCCACCCGATCTACATGTTTTGTAAGTCTTTAAGGTGCTACATTCCCACAGAGTAATCATCAATGGATCACAGTCATGCTGGAAAGGTATAATAAGTGGGATCCTACTGGGATCAGTTCTGGATTTGAGGTGGTACCAGCAGGAGCCACTTTTTTTTTTTTAAATCAGAGCGCCACATGCAGCTCATGAGTTGCAGGTTGGCCACCCGATCTACATGTTTTGTAAGTCTTTAAGGTGCTACATTCCCACAGAGTAATCATCAATGGATCACAGTCATGCTGGAAAGGTATAATAAGTGGGATCCTACTGGGATCAGTTCTGGATTTGAGTCTGTTCAATATTTTCATCAATGTTTTAGATAACGACAGACAGGATACTTATAAAGTCTGCAGACAATACCAAGCTGGGAGGTGTTGCAAGCACTTTAGAGGGTCGGATAAAAATTAAAAGTGATCTGGACAAACTGGAGAAATGGTCTGAAGAAATGGAATGAAATTCAATAAGAACAAATGCAAAATATTCCATTTAGGAAGGAACAATTAATTGCATGCATACAAAATGGGAAATGACTGCCTAGGAAGGAGAATCGCGGAAAGGGATCTGGGAGTCATAGTGGACCACAAGTTCATTTGCAGTCAACAGTGTGACACTGCTGCAAAAAAAGGCAAATGTTTTGGGATGCATTACAAGGAGTATCTTAACCAAGACATGAGAAGTAATTCTACATTACTCTGCAATGATCAGGCCTCAGCTGGAGTATTATGTCCAATTTTAGGCACCAAATTTCAGGAAAAATTGGAGAAAGTCCAGAGAAGAGCAACAAAAATAATTAAAGTCTAGAAAATATAACCTATGAGGAAAAACTGAAAAAATGCGCTTTGTTTAGTCTAAAAAAGATAGCAGAGGAAACAGATAACCATTTTCAAGTACATAAAAAGTTGTTACAAGGAGTAGGGAGAAAAAATTGTTTTTAACCTCTTTAGGACAGGACAAGAGTCAATGAGCTTACATTGCAGTAAGTCAGGTTTAGGTTGGACATCATGAAAAACTTCCTGTCAGGGTGATTAAGCACAGGAATAAATTGCCTAGGGAGGTTGTGGAATCTCCATCATTGGAGACTTTTAAGAACAGGGGAGACAAACAACTGTCAGGAATGCTCTAGATAATACTTAGTCCTACCATGAATGCAAGTGGCTAGATTAAATGTCCTTCCGAGGCCCCCTCCCTATCATTCTATTTCAAATGCTGTAAAATTTCTTGAAGGAACAGCAAAATTATTAGTTTTGTACTGTAGGCATTCCATATTCACTCAATTAATTAAGCCTCACGATATTCTCTATGAAGTACCTATATACTTTTCCAGATGGAGAAACTGAGTAATGAAGAATTAAGTGTATTTTCTAAGTCCACGAACCTGCCAGTGGAAGAACAGAATTCCAATACTTTCAGTTCCTATTCCTCTCATTATGCTAGGGTAATGAGAGTGCATCCAGTATTATACTGAATAAAAGGTAAACAATAAAAGACATTCCATTATGTAGTATTTCCGGTTTTAAAGCTACCCTTTTAAAAATATCTTTATGCATCAACACATGTAGAAATGGAAATGAAAAGCTTTACCGCTGTCAAGATACGAGCACTCCCTTTAGGTAACAGTGCTTCTGCAGCTGCAGCAACTTCTGTTATGTCTTTTGAGTACTTTTTTGAAGCATTTGTTCTCTCTACACCCTTGTGCTGATCAATGTTCAGAAGTGAATCTATGAGTACCACTTCTTTTTGAAGATTCTCCTGGTCCCGTGTACGGTCTTCTGATTCTACATAAGATGTAAGTTTATGATTATTTTACACAGAGACATATAACATCAGAAATAAGTTACTAAATCTTTAACCATTTCTATTATCTTCTGTTCTGTTAAGTTAAAATGAACAATTTAGTTAATTTCAGCAACATGTTCTAAATGCTAATGTTAAGTAGGCTGAAGAGGAAATAAGATTTTACACTCTAAGAAATCCTCTGGAATGTCCCAAATTCCTAAAATTGAACCTATAAAGAATAATTCTATGACCAATGGTATCTATAACACGACAAGAAAACTAACCAGTATACATTATTTATAGGCTTTGCTATATCTACCTCCACTATAGTTTGAGTGTCTCAAACATTACTGCATTTATCCTCACAACAATCCTATAAGGTAGAAAAATACTATCCTTATTTTACACATTAGGAACTAATAAACAAGAGATTAAATGTTTTGTGGAAGGCCATACAGAAAATATTTTGCAATGCCTGGAATATAATCCACAGCTCCCAACCCTTTTCCACATTCCTCCTTTCATACAATCCCTTAGACGCCAGCAGTGTTAATTTTTATTAATTTCTGATGTAACTTACTTTGTTAGTTCTCCCACACGATGAACCACCTTGATAAAGTGAGCCTAGTGAATTATCAATTTATTTCAACATGAATGTTAGTGGTTTCTTCTAATAAAAATACAGTTACCTTCTTCACTGGTGTCCTCTTTATTGTCAGGCTTAGGCTGGGGCCACTGAAAATTCTCTGAAAAGGCACCTTCATACATCTTTACTAAATCATCCAAAGGCAATTCAGCTAAAGATAATTGAAGAGCAAATACAATGATATTACTACCTAAAATTAGCAGTTATCAATAATACTCTATTTTAATAATCCAGATACATGTTGTAATCCATACAGTAGTCAATTCAGAAATTGACTTTAAAGAGAATTAACAGATGGAAGGAAGGTAATGATTTTAAAGTCAGTGGGCTCAGCTCAGAAGATTCCCAATAAAAATCGCGGAAAGGGATCTGGGAGTCATAGTGGACCACAAGTTCATTTGCAGTCAACAGTGTGACACTGCTGCAAAAAAAGGCAAATGTTTTGGGATGCATTACAAGGAGTATCTTAACCAAGACATGAGAAGTAATTCTACATTACTCTGCAATGATCAGGCCTCAGCTGGAGTATTATGTCCAATTTTAGGCACCAAATTTCAGGAAAAATTGGAGAAAGTCCAGAGAAGAGCAACAAAAATAATTAAAGTCTAGAAAATATAACCTATGAGGAAAAACTGAAAAAATGCGCTTTGTTTAGTCTAAAAAAGATAGCAGAGGAAACAGATAACCATTTTCAAGTACATAAAAAGTTGTTACAAGGAGTAGGGAGAAAAAATTGTTTTTAACCTCTTTAGGACAGGACAAGAGTCAATGAGCTTACATTGCAGTAAGTCAGGTTTAGGTTGGACATCATGAAAAACTTCCTGTCAGGGTGATTAAGCACAGGAATAAATTGCCTAGGGAGGTTGTGGAATCTCCATCATTGGAGACTTTTAAGAACAGGGGAGACAAACAACTGTCAGGAATGCTCTAGATAATACTTAGTCCTACCATGAATGCAAGTGGCTAGATTAAATGTCCTTCCGAGGCCCCCTCCCTATCATTCTATTTCAAATGCTGTAAAATTTCTTGAAGGAACAGCAAAATTATTAGTTTTGTACTGTAGGCATTCCATATTCACTCAATTAATTAAGCCTCACGATATTCTCTATGAAGTACCTATATACTTTTCCAGATGGAGAAACTGAGTAATGAAGAATTAAGTGTATTTTCTAAGTCCACGAACCTGCCAGTGGAAGAACAGAATTCCAATACTTTCAGTTCCTATTCCTCTCATTATGCTAGGGTAATGAGAGTGCATCCAGTATTATACTGAATAAAAGGTAAACAATAAAAGACATTCCATTATGTAGTATTTCCGGTTTTAAAGCTACCCTTTTAAAAATATCTTTATGCATCAACACATGTAGAAATGGAAATGAAAAGCTTTACCGCTGTCAAGATACGAGCACTCCCTTTAGGTAACAGTGCTTCTGCAGCTGCAGCAACTTCTGTTATGTCTTTTGAGTACTTTTTTGAAGCATTTGTTCTCTCTACACCCTTGTGCTGATCAATGTTCAGAAGTGAATCTATGAGTACCACTTCTTTTTGAAGATTCTCCTGGTCCCGTGTACGGTCTTCTGATTCTACATAAGATGTAAGTTTATGATTATTTTACACAGAGACATATAACATCAGAAATAAGTTACTAAATCTTTAACCATTTCTATTATCTTCTGTTCTGTTAAGTTAAAATGAACAATTTAGTTAATTTCAGCAACATGTTCTAAATGCTAATGTTAAGTAGGCTGAAGAGGAAATAAGATTTTACACTCTAAGAAATCCTCTGGAATGTCCCAAATTCCTAAAATTGAACCTATAAAGAATAATTCTATGACCAATGGTATCTATAACACGACAAGAAAACTAACCAGTATACATTATTTATAGGCTTTGCTATATCTACCTCCACTATAGTTTGAGTGTCTCAAACATTACTGCATTTATCCTCACAACAATCCTATAAGGTAGAAAAATACTATCCTTATTTTACACATTAGGAACTAATAAACAAGAGATTAAATGTTTTGTGGAAGGCCATACAGAAAATATTTTGCAATGCCTGGAATATAATCCACAGCTCCCAACCCTTTTCCACATTCCTCCTTTCATACAATCCCTTAGACGCCAGCAGTGTTAATTTTTATTAATTTCTGATGTAACTTACTTTGTTAGTTCTCCCACACGATGAACCACCTTGATAAAGTGAGCCTAGTGAATTATCAATTTATTTCAACATGAATGTTAGTGGTTTCTTCTAATAAAAATACAGTTACCTTCTTCACTGGTGTCCTCTTTATTGTCAGGCTTAGGCTGGGGCCACTGAAAATTCTCTGAAAAGGCACCTTCATACATCTTTACTAAATCATCCAAAGGCAATTCAGCTAAAGATAATTGAAGAGCAAATACAATGATATTACTACCTAAAATTAGCAGTTATCAATAATACTCTATTTTAATAATCCAGATACATGTTGTAATCCATACAGTAGTCAATTCAGAAATTGACTTTAAAGAGAATTAACAGATGGAAGGAAGGTAATGATTTTAAAGTCAGTGGGCTCAGCTCAGAAGATTCCCAATAAAATAAAAATCCCACTATATAATCTGACAATCAGTTACTGCTTTGAGGAATCAAAGCACTAAAAGTATCAGGCTTGTTAAGACATCAAAACTGAAGTATGTCTGTGGGGTATTTTGCACAGCACCACATATACTTTCCTCTGAACAGTTTTACAAAAGGAAGGAGATTACTGGCAGAGCATTCTCTGGAAAGGCCCCTTTCCCTCTTATGCTTAGCCTGTCAAAATCTGAAATAGACCAGGCTTTTCAGCCTCTTTGCAAAATCATTGTTTGAGCAGGCACACGCAAAGAGCCAAGGCAAATGAGGCTTGGTGGGATTTCCATCTAATGGGAAAAGGCTGTAGAGGGTTTTAAGCAGAATTGCTTATGTGACCAGTGATCACAGTAGTTGGTAGGAGGTGCTTCCACTTTAGTCAATGTTATTTTGGATCTCCAATGCTCTCGTGTTTTCAAGGCTCTTATCTATCAAGGGCAGTTGAAGCTTTGAACCAAGTGAGTTATAAGATCAAGAGCACATATTCCTGCACATCCAGAAATATAATTTATGCAATCATGTGCCAAAAGTGTCCATCTCCTATGTACATTGGACAAACATCTCAGACACTTCGCAAAAAGATCAATGTCCACAAAACAGATATCAGACAGGATCACAAAGAAAAAACAGTTTCTTGCCATTTCAACCAGAAAGAACATTGTCTTAACGACTCGATTACCTGCATCCTGCTGCAAAGGCCTTTTAAGACTACACTTGAAAGAGAATCCTCTGAACTGTCATTCATGCTTAAATTTAACACTTTACACTCAAGTTTGAATAAAGACGCTAATTATCTTACCCATTACAAAGATAGCTTCCCCAATTATCACCTCTAATATCATTAGCTCAAAAACATTTACCTTCCCCCCACCCCCATCCCCGTTCTGTTCTGAAATTTGATTTGTCCTTTTCATATGTGTTCATTTTTTTTAATTGTATCCTTTGGTATTATATGGTTGTGACAATTTTCTTCCACTATTTGATCTGAGGAAGTGGGTCTGACCCACAAAAGCTCATCACCTATTAAACCATCTTGTTAGTCTTTAAAGTGCTACATAGTCCTGTTTTTTGTTTCAGCTACACCAGACTAACATGGCTACATTTCTATCACTATTCTACAATGATAAGTGTTAGTGCACTATCAAAAAACAATACTAACAGGAATACAAACTATATATGATTTGAAAGTTGAATGCAAACAGGAAAGGAAACATTTATTTGTTAGCTACCATATGTGTAAATATAAATTTTCACATACTACTCCAAACCCCACAAGTATGTTGCAAATCTGTGTCCACAAGCAATTCACATGCCTACCTTCTTTGGCTAAGTTAGAAAGTTCAGTTTGATGGTTTATATTTCCTTCTTTAGCCTCTTGCTCTTCAATTGTCTCCTCTTCATCTTCAGCTAACACCAAAACACACATTTATAAAGGCAACTAAGTTAAACAATTATAAAAATGTCAGAGTATGACAGTACATACAATAGAGCTGTCAGTTTAAATCTGCTTTGAAGCTTATTCCGAAGTCAAAGGCATTGGCTGACGCAGTGGAGTTTAGCAAAAGAGACAGGTTTATTAAGCTAGCCTTGTCTTGGTGTCATTGCTGAATTTTGAACAGTGATCATATAAGCCCCATTCCTTTGTAACTGATATAGGGCAATGGTTTTCAAACTTTTAATTCTCATGACCCAACATAACTGTTGATGCTCACAACCCAACATAATTATATCTTTTGACTAGAGTGTGGGCTCTAAGGGAGATCGGGGGGAATAAGAGTTCTGGGGTGCAAGGAGGCAGCTGTGGGGTGGGAGGGACTTCAGGGCTGGGGCAAAGGGCGGTGCTCGTGTCTGGGTGTATGGGTTTACCTCCAGTGGCTCTTGGTCAGCAGTGCAGTGAGGATACTAAGGTAGGCTTTATGCCTCTCCTGGCACCATGGACCATGCTGTGCCCAGAAGCAGCCAGCACCAGGTCTGGGTCCTAAATGGAGGCACACAAGCAGCTCTGCACACTGCTTTCACACACAGGCACAGACCTCAGCTCCCATTAGATAAGGATTGCCAGTGCTTGGGGTGGGGGCAGCACACAGAGCCCTGGCTCCCTGGTCTAGGAGACAGATCTGCTCCTGGCCACTTCTAGGATGCAGCAGAGTCAGGATAGGCAGGAAGCCTGCCTTAGCACCCCCATTAGTCTCCCCGGTCACTCTACAGCAAGGTGACACAGTGTTTGACATTGTGCAACCCAGTACAGGTTGCAATCCATAGTTTGAAAACCACTGCTCTTGTGAAGTGTACAGGTTCATAAGATCTCACCTATCAGTTCAGGAAGCTATGTAAGTTATTAACTAGGTATCTCTAAATCTCATTAGTACAAAATATCATTGAGAACTGTAGCAAGATTCCAAAAAGGATTACATATTAATATGAACAACAGGAATATCTGGAATTACAATAATGACATTCTTTTTAGCAAAAGAAGTTTGAAATGGATGAAAGCCTTCATGTTTCAGGGCATAAGCCATCCATAAACTATTGAGAAAAACTTTCCCTGAAAACAGAGTATCCCATAACTGCCAACTGTGGGAGTTTTTCCTCTTTAGCTGCTTGTTATGCTGTAAAACAGGATGCTAAACTATCTGAACCACGAATCTGATCAAATATAGCAATCTCCCTGAAAAAGTGTAAAAAACAAGTAAGCAGGTTGGGGAAGAGGAGGAGGGACAAATATAATCACATATACTGACCCACAAAAGATTTTCTTCCATTCCTCAATTCTAGCAATATCAATATCCATGCTTCTAAAAAGGTCTCTTTATCAATACTATTTTGCTCTTAAAACTGAACACTAAAGCTCAATTCAGCTGATTGTTTTTAAGGAGCAGAGATGAAGGAAGAAGTTAACACCACAAATTTTTAATTTATCTTTTTCTTTGTGCTTTAAGAGAAGACTTTTGCAATTACAGGAGACTTTTGCAATTAACGGAACTCCTATTTGCAATTTTGTATATTTGTGGATCCCTTTCCTGCCATAGTCCTGCACTCCCTCCCACAACTGCATTGATCCCACAACCTGAGGCAGCTAAAGGGGAAGATGCAGCTTCAGGGGTCCTGCTGCAAGGTGGGAGTCAGCAGGAGCTGTGGGGAAATGGAGTACTTGCTCTGCTTCCCCCTCACACCCAGTATTCGCAGATTTCGTTATTCATGGTAGTGTCAGGAATGTATCTACCATGAATGACAAGGGTTTCCTGTAATATGTAACAATAGTGAAATCTTATTAATAAAGCCTCATTGAAGCGCTCACCTCACTTTGCTATTTAATCTTAGTGAAAGAGACTGGCAATTATGTTGTGAAAAATACAGGCCATCTGGATTGGCAGATTGAAAATTAGTGTTCATTTTTTAAAAATATATGACAATACAAGTACACCACCCATTGGAGAGAAAGTTTTGAAAAGTGACTAACCTTCTTCATCAGTCAAGGATGTGCTGGCCTTTCTTTTCCTTCCAGATAACAAGGCACCCTAGCATTAAATAATTCAAAATATTCAAATTCACAGAATATAAAACCAATATATTGATTACCAGATAACACAGAATGCTAAATCTCCTTTCAGCTCCTCCTTAAACTAGCTATCCAGAGCAAAAAGTTAACCAAAGACAATCAAAAGCATCCATATGAGTAAAATCCTTCTGACATTAATGGACTCTATGCAGGCAGAAAGGTCCATCTGCAGAAATCACTTTATAGGATCAGAGCCCATATATGCAACTGGGTAAATAATACACCCTTTTAAAATGTCCAAACATCTTTTTCATCTTAAACACTAGAATGGACCTTCCAAAGCTCTTATAGGTTCCTGGATAAACATTAACTCTCTTTTTAAAAGAAGGTATTTCCATTATTATCCTCATAAGTTCAGAAAATTCAATATCAAAAGTTTATGGTTCCTAACAATATATTCTTCTCACATCCCCACTATGACAAATAGTTTATAGGCCAAAACTTCAATATTAAAAACTTCCAGAGATCTGTTTACTGTCAGTTTGTGCATCAGTCTAAAAAAAAGTAGCTTTAAAGTTTGAAATTGATGAAAAAATGAAATGCTATAGGAAGCAGTAAAATTTAGAATAAAACTGAGACTAAGTTAAAAAAGAGACTTACCACATCACTTTCTTTTTCCAAAGAAATAGCCTCTACAGGTCTTGTATCTTTCCCTGGAAAATTATTACAGACATCCAACAATCATTCAACAAACTCTATATTTCTTATGCTAACATTTCATTGCTTATCTTCATGATTTTTCTCATGGATGCAAAGATTAATAGTAAAACACAATAAATACTATGAATCTCAATTTAGATTCTATTGTCGAAAAGATGAAACCACATACTTGAGAAAGTGGATGCAAGTAATAAAAACAATAGAGTGAGCTTTGATTTTATACTCCAATTTTAATAAACTGAAATATTACCTTTTTTTGAACTTTTTCTCAAATTCAATGTTTTTTTCCTTTTCTCTTGAAATTCAATTTGCAGTTTTATTTCAACAACCTAATATATAAAATGTATCCAAAATGTGATTAGACCATTTAGATTTTAAAGACTTGAAATCAATTTTGTAATCACAAAAACTTTTATTTTTTTTGAAGTAGAGAGTTTACCTGTTCAATATTTGACCAGAAGTATTCTATTTCTCTAGCAATTGAAGCAGCAATGCGCCTTAACTTGTTTTGTTCCTCTTTGCTTGTTCTCTCTTCATTAAGTTTCTTTTCCTCATGGTGGCGAGCAACAGTTCTCACCATCTAATAAAAATTATTATATGCTGACTTGAAGTTTCCTCAAAATACACATCACCACATTTCTTAAAATTAGATGTTTTACCCATCACCCAGATGTTAACTGTAGCATCGTTTCAATGCACTTATGATCTAATTAATCTTCAGTATTTATATAATATGTTTGACATTAAAGAAAAAAAGATAGTATCTTGTGGACTTTTCTATCTTAGGGTATGTCTACACTACCCTCCTAGTTCGAACTAGGAGGGTAATGTAGGCATACCGCACTTGCAAATGAAGCCCGGGATTTGAATTTCCCGGGCTTCATTTGCATAAGCGGGGAGTCGCCATTTTTAAAACCCCACTGGTTCGAACCCCGTGCAGCGCGGCTACACGGGGCACGAACTAGGTAGTTCGAACTAGGCTTCCTAGTTCGAACTACCGTTACTCCTCATTTCCTCAGTTCGAACTAGCGGGGTAGTGTAGACAGACCCTTATTTACCTCAAGTCTATTTTATTAAAGCAAAAGTCCTGACCGGGTGAATTGTATAATTTGTAAGACAATTTTTAGAATTTCTTTATGAAATAAGTATTTCAAAGACATTAGAATACTTGAAAATTTTTGAACACAGTATCAAGTGGTGCACTGTATTAGGATACTGCTTATGAGAAGGGGTCTGAATTCATAACAGTTTCAAACACAGAATAGGAAATGACATACTGAATTAAAACAGTAGTCTTTAACTATCTTGATCCCAACAGAGGCCAGTATCACCAGATTCTTCAAAGGAAGACTCAAGAATTTACACAATGGACAATCATGGAACAACTTGCCTTTACGGGAAGTTTCTTCCTATTACCAAACAATGAGGTTTCAACTAATATTGCAAAGAAAAACCTGTGGCTGGCCTGAACCAACCATCTCAGGCTCACAAGGCTTGAGCTGTTTCAGTGCTGTGTAGAATTGTGTGTGAGAGAGAATCCCCAAAGCTCACGATCTAGCCTGTGCCCAGAAATCTACAAAGCAATAAAACAGTCCCACACACAGCAGGGCTATTTCGGGATACCAGAAGTATCCCAAAATACAGTAGACTTCCAATAATCCGGCACCTTTGGGACCTATGTGGTGCCAGATTATCGGATATGCTGGAATATAGGGAGGTACTCCGGTGGGGGGCTATGACGGGTCTGTCGGACCTGCATGGTATCCAGGGCTGGGTGGGAAATGGTGCAGCGAGGGGAGAACCCTCCACTGTTTTGCAGGAAGGCTGGGGAAGCCCTGCGCCGCCGCGAGTTTCCGGCAAGGAAGGACAGGGAAGGACAGCGGTCTCCCCCCAGGCTGCAGTAGTTATCCCTGAGCAGGAGGATGAGGGATGGCACTGTGGGACCAACCCAGCAGCACCCCAGCTGTTCTGCTCTGCAGCTTTGGTGCACTTATTTTGATTGAATTTCAAAATAGAGTATCTTATTTCGAGTTTAGGGTGCTGTGTAGATGCACCCTTAGTGGCTTATGTACTAAAGCATTAACAGGTACAGTCCTTTTTAAAGAAAAACAAAATACAGTAAACTTCCAATAATCCGGCACCTTTAGGACCCAGGGGGTGCCGGATTATCAGATATGCCGGACTATCAGAAGGGGGGGCTATGAGGGGTCTGGAGTGGGGTGGGAGAGGATGCCACCCCAGACCCCTCATAGCCCCCCCTTACGATAGTCCGGCTCTGCCCCAGGCGTCCCTGATTCAGCCGCTGAAAACAAAATACAGTAAACTTCCAATAATCCGGCACCTTTAGGACCCAGGGGGTGCCGGATTATCAGATATGCCGGACTATCAGAAGGGGGGGCTATGAGGGGTCTGGAGTGGGGTGGGAGAGGATGCCACCCCAGACCCCTCATAGCCCCCCCTTACGATAGTCCGGCTCTGCCCCAGGCGTCCCTGATTCAGCCGCTGCTGGTCAGTTTCAGCAGCAGCTGAATTGGGGATGCGTGCAATAGAGCAGCTGGGGTACTGCCCGGTTGGTCCCGTAGCACTGTCCCTTGGGGCTGCGGGACCAACCCGGCAGCACCCCAGCTGCTCTGCCCCAGGGCTCCCCAAGAACAG